GGAATCCCGCCTGGTTTTAGTTTGGAATTGTCAATGGATTAGAAGAACTAGTTGCTGATCCTTTGCAAAAAAAAAAATATTACTTACATACTTATGAAAATGCCCACATGAAATGGCATTATCTTAATCTGTGAACTCTAGAACACCCATCATAAAAATGAATTTAAAAAATCCCTCACAAACCAGAGTACTAGAATTATTATTGCAAGATAATAGTAATTCTCATTTTTAAGTACTACATTGCAGTAGAAGATACATGGCTACATTAATATGTGATGAATTGCATTAAAATCCTAAAAAAAAGTCTTGAAATTATACTGTCTTTATCAAACTTCATCAGTAGATGTGTAGAATTTTTTTTAAAACATTTTCAACCACCGATTAAAAACTACCTCTTGGAATTGTTTAAAAGATCCTCAGACAATTGTAAGATGAAAAACTTCAAAACAGAGTGAATTAAAGACCTTATATACTATGAATTACATAGAAATTAGAGTGATTGAAATTAATTGCATAGTGTGCATGTTTGAAAGACTGCACATAGGATTTAATATCTTGATGTAGAGCTCATTTTACTAGCATTTTGTAGGAAACGAAAAGAAAACTTCAAATTATTTTTAATATTTAACAGGCGAAAACGATTTCTGAACACTCACTGCACACACATTTCTCTGCAGGCTTTTCCCCACAGCTGCTATTAATTTCTTCGAAGCACTTTAAGCTCAGTGTGTGTCACATTGCTGAATGTCATTAACGGGCTTTGCAAATGTCACACCAGCCTGGTAGAGACCAGCAACAAGCCCCAGTGGCCCCCGCAGCGCTAGCAAGGTGGTTGAGCGTAACCACCACGCCGCCTTCCCACCATGACTTCCTCCTCCTCTCCCTCCTCGCCTGCAAAAAAAGGAGTTGATGTTTATTTATTCCTTTTTCTTTCATGAGCTAACAGCTGAGAGCATGGCCCACCCCGAAAAGCAAGGACTCGACACGCTGAGAGCATTCCAAATTTACCCAAAAATACCGCTTAGCTCAATTCTCCTATTTCCTGTGACATCCTCATAATACCCCATTTCCATGGCTAACTAATAAGTGCTTTCAGAAGGGGCGAAATGGGAAGGGGCCACGTGCCACTAACTAGCCTAGGTGAGGAGTTATGCTGTATGAGAAATCCCTTCACATTCAGCTTCAGTCTGTTTTTCTTTATCCCCAAGCATTTCTTCACTCTGTTTCCTTCCAGTATTACGCATGCTGTGCCAGGCCTGCAGCTGACTTATCAACCTTAACCTTGTCGTTCCCTGTATTTCGCTGTATTTCATCTCTTCTCTTTTTCTGTCTGTCCTGATTTTGTTTGGTTTGGAGTTTCTGCCCTTTCCCTTCCCCTTTCTTTTTTTTTTTTTTTAAAAAAAAAAACTTTCTGTCCTTGGATTTATTATTTGTTTTCTTTAATACATTTTTGCAGCATCCTAGTTTTACCAAACTCACTTCTTCTCCCCCAACCCTTGTTAATAATCAGTGCTATTAATTTTGTCTTATGGTGCTCATGATCTGTTTGTCGGTGTTTTGGTTTGCAGTGGGGTTGGCTTGTAGGAAGAATTCTTTCAAGGGTAAGGTGCATTGTATCAGAGAAATTAAGATTTCTTTTCATTCGCTTGTTGGTTTCTTGGAAGATTTTCCATTTGCCCTGAATCTTGGGCAGCAATAGCTGGTTTGAGACTGGAAAATCTTGATGGGCTCAAACCCACGTGATATCTAGCGCATCTCAGCAGTGGGTATTGACTAGTGCCGGCACTGGCGCATAGCCATGCAAGAACAGTTGGTCATGCCATTTATTGAATTAATTAGCAGGTTTCCACATGAATTGCAGTGCTCGACACCATATTTCTGAAGCAATAGCTGCAGCAGCCTTGCTACCATGTTAGGACTTATAATAGACACCAACCACCTTTATTACCCCAAAATCTGACGTAACAGCGAAATTTCAGGGGTTTAACCCTTTGCTGACTGGAGATCCTGGGCTCAGCTTTTAGTGAAGTGAATCTTTTAAGTTCCCAAGCCTGGACAGAGATTGGTGGCACATGTGTGATGGGCAATACCCAGCACATGGAGATGATCTACCTACCTTGTGGAGGTCTGCCCCATAAGCCTTGTATGTTCACGTGAGAAGAGATAGGCCAAGGCAGCAGTAACCTAGATCTTCCCAAGAGGAATCATGCAAGCATTTATCTCCATGATAACATGAAGCTA